TCTTGTTGTTTCTTTAATGAAAATGCATGTGAATATATATTCGTACACGTTTTATACAAATAAGACCATGTCGCCGTATTCTAGTTGTTGCTAGGAGATGAATAAGTGAAACCCGGAACGGAAAAGAAAGAAGTGGTGATAACAACGAAAAACAACTCAAACAGTACTTTGCCGCAAGCCAGAGGTATTAAGAATCCTTTTGCCACACATCGCACAAATTCCTTTTTGATACGCACATGTTTGACAATAATGCGAACCAACTTGATGAATGGAACACTTACATATCTTGCACTTCAAATTCATTACACTGGCTCTGAAAAAAAAGAACGGTTTTGATTCAGGGTTAAAAGAGTTACCATGGGCTACAATGAAGTTCTTACTTCTTCTCACTTCCGAGTAACCTATTTTGGTTTGTTGGTGGTCGTTTTTGGACTCCAGTTAACTTATTATGGGCCTTGTTGCGATATGGATCAACACCGACAATCTTCGTCAATTTCTTTTGGCCTGCAACGCGATTGTAAAATTCAGCTATTGGCACAACAAAGATTACAGTTGGTACAAGTAGAAGAAAATCTACATGAATGAATTACAAGTAGTAGAAAATCTACAAACGATTATAAGTAGTAGGCAATCTACAAAACGGCCGAATGGTCAAGAAAATACTGGTTTCGCTCTACGTTGCCTGTACATTGTTACGAGGCAGGAGAATTGCATTGGCAGGTGACCCACGCATACAGTCCGGAGACCAAATCCCGAAACTTGCGCTGCTCAGGCCAACCAATTCCTACATATTTCATACATAGACATACACCCACATTACATATTTCCTGTTTGGTCAACTGACATCGATTGGGAGGATATGTAATAGAAACGTAGACATGTAAACCGGCTGGCCCTAGGAAGTATGCTACTTATTAGGCTTTGTATGGGCCTATCGCTTCATATTTCAATGAATGGAAGCAGATTGTCTGGTGCATTCCAAAAGGAGATTGGTCAACTAGCATTTTTACTACAGTATAATACATCAAAGGGTGTTAAATAAATGTACAACTTACATGCATCGCACACCATAACTCGTTTTGTTTTCGGAACGAACGATGAGTTTTCACTGCTTCTTGCTAGAAATTTCACATAACGAATGGCGTTATCAATGGTAAACAATTTTCGAATAATAAATTACAGAACATGCAAAAATGACCCAGTGAGCAAACAACTCCGCTCCCCATCCTTCCCCTTTTTGAACCTATTAAGCTACGCCTTTACCACAGATAAAAAAGTATGGAGGAGAGGAAACGGGAAAAACTAAACTTGTTATAAGCCTCGTTCAAGCATAGCGACGACTTGGATGTTTCGAATGTGGTCGCACGGAAAACAGCTTTGGTGTGCTGGACGTAATTGCGGAAACACTTGAATTTTCGATGACGTGATAAAAAAAATAAGTGCTTTATAAGCAAACTTTGCACTGAGCAAATGCGTGATGACATCTTCAAACGCCTTACGTTTGGTATCAAGAAAACACCGAGACAAATAGCTGCTGTAAGTCTTGGCTTCATTTCTGGTTTTCGCCCTAATATCGAAGTGTTCTGCTATTGATTTTCAGGAACATGAAGACAATGATGGCCATGCTTCTCTACGATTACGAGTTCTTCCTGAGAATATAAAAGAGGAGCTTAGAAATTTGCGCAAAAGACAGAGTGGGGAGCAAATTCTGGTTGAAACCAAAGAAGACGATCAAGTCGAGGAAGGTGAGGCGACAATTGTGCACGGGTACAGTTGGGGGTAGGGGCATCTTGGCGCAAACACTCACGGTTTACAAAACCTACTGAGCATTTCCTTTGTATACTCTCTCTCAGTCCAACTTTCTGCACGAGCGAAATGGTCCATGCTCTCAGGAGCTTACTCCCATAGCAAAAATTTGGTTACTCTTGCCAAGATGAACTTCTGCGACGCATGCCTATCCCATACTGCAATTTCTTTGTTTTATTACTATTGCAGTCAATGATCATTACTGCTTCATCTTTCAGTCACAGAAAGAACAACCAAATATGATCAACCTGATTGCAATAAAAAGAACCATTTGTTTTGCAGGTTTCAAGCTGTTTTCTGATGGTGGTGTTCCAAAGAGCATCAAGACATCTTCCAAAAGGCTTCCTGTGAGTTCAGACGATGTGCCAAGTAACAGTGCTGAGATACAGAAGCAGATCGCTGAAAAGGTGATTTGATTGTACCTCTAATATTTTGTGTAAGCTAACGCTTTCAAAAGCTGTCCTTCAGATTCATCAGCTTCGACGATCAAATCGAATATACACATGGGGTGAAGACATTTCTGATCCTTTCATAGACTTCAAAGACCTCAATTTGCCGTCTGTATTAATGTCTTCCTTAGATGAGTTCGGCATCGGAGAGCCCACCCCAATTCAGATGCAGGTTAGTATGCGCCGTTCTCGTATGTAAGGGGTTTAGTACTATTCTGAAAACAGTGTTTTGTTTACTTGAGTCTTTTGTGGTGCGGATACTTTCAATCTAGTCTAGTGTAGCCCTGTTACTTATCAGTAATAAGTTTTAGTCTTGACTTATTAGGGCGATGTTGGGAGTAGCATTGAAAGCTAGGAAGGAGGCAAATGTCGAAATTTATGGTGCCCGAGCTTGACTAAAGAGCAATCGCTATTTTCGCGAAAAGATGGTTTTTGGCGCAGTTCTTCGCTAGTGTTGCTTGTTCGATGGAGCGCTAGCCTTATGTCGCCTTACGGTGCCTGTTTTGGCTTTTGGAATCCTTATCAAAAGCTATGTAATACATTTCTTTTTAAGGCTGCAATCCTAGTCTCAAAAGGCTTAAAATAATAACACATCAAGAATACGGCACGTTAAGGGGTATACAGAACTTGAACAGCAATGGGAACTCTTCTAGCGCTAATAGCGATATTGTTTAGGCAATACCCCTCATGATGAAGCATCGTGATATTTTGGCGAGTGCCCCCACAGGTGCGCTTTCATTTTTCATTTCGCTTTGTATAGCTGCATTGTCTTAGGAAAAATTCAATCGAACATGGTCAAAAGTAGTGACAATTTGCATTTTAGGATCCGGGAAAACCCTGGCGTTTGCTATTCCTGTAATTATGGATGTATTGAAATTAAAAAAGCTGAGTAAGTACAAGGATGGCACGAAGTTATTGGCAGTGGTCCTTGAACCAACCAGAGAATTAGCATCACAGGTAAGTTTTTAATAAGAGTAGCTAATTAATGCGTAGCGGCATTTCTGATGAAACGTTCCTTTAGACATATCGTCAGTTCCTCAAGTTCGGCCAGGGGCTCCCAATTAAAGCCGCTCTATTTGAAAATGAGGAAGTTCCACAGAATGGTTAGTTGTGGTTTTTGCCGTCTTCGATCTTTTCTTGTTGCTATATGTATCCTTTTGATAGTTGATGTGCTTGTTTCTACTCCGAATCGTCTCGCCCACCATTTGCAAGACATGCAGCTCAAGTTTTTAAGGTATGTTCTGCATATAGGGGAATATATTATTTTTTAATTATTATTACACATATTATTTATCCTTCAAGGTGGCTGATTGTCGATGAAAGCGACCGCTTGTTCGAGGTTGTTGAAGGTCAAGAGCGATGTTTCAGGAACCAGGTGAGTAACAAGTAATTCTTTATTGTTGAATCGTCGGATTTTTTATCTTTTATAATTTTTTTTTGTTGACGTTTCAAGTGAGCTCTTGTGAATTTTTCGAGGCAAAAAGCGGCAGAACTACGAGCTTAATTTTTTTGTTCGATAGGCTCTTGGCAGCCAGTGCATTCGAAAATTATTGGAACAAATACTTTAAAGTTTCCATGGTTCAAAATTCTTAGGCGGTATTCAAAAAGGTTCATTAGGGAATTTGCAGTGTCTCAGTCTTTCTTTACAACTAAGCCCTAGTGTGCTTGAGGATGAAGAGGAGGGGTGAAGATTTGGGAAAAATTCCAAACTCTTCCATTTTCCTCATCATTCTAAAATTGCTGTCTTCAATGGAAACATCTATGATGGTAGAGATGAAAAAAATTGACGCAGCTTAATATGCTACCTTTTTAAGCTCGCCAGCGTGTACAAGGCTTGCGATGGGAAATTCACTCGGAGAGCGTTTTTCAGTGCTACGTTTTCTTATGAGGTGGAAGAGTGGTGAGTTTGCTGTTTGAAACGCTGCTTTCTTCTAAATATTTGGAGCGATGTTTTCTTCTGAAATCAGTTTGAACTAGATGTGTTGGCTTCAGGTGTAAAGAGAATTTGAACAATGTTGCAATGGTCTGCATTGGTGAAAGGTATGTTGTTAATGTGTTTTTAGAAAAAAAACTGCAAGCACCATCTTTGTCGTTGTAGAAACTCAGCAAATGCTAATGTGACGCAAGAGCTGGTGTTTGCTGGTTCGGAACAAGGAAAACTTCTTGCCATTCGGACGCTTCTTCAGACGCAGTTTGAGCCACCCGGCGCTCATTTTTGTGCCAGGCCATGTTAAATTTATTGTTGTTTTGTTTATTGTCAATATTTTTCTTTCGACTGTTCAGCAGCAAAAGAGGTCTGGCGCGTGAGCTCCGTCTGCGTTGTCCCTCATATTACGCCCCCAATCCTGTGGCTCCTCATCAAGGCCAGTGGGAATTCTCAGAGTGAAGGTGCGTTTCATGAATCAAATTAAAATAATAGTAATAGGCCACATTAATACCGTGAACGCAGCTTCATAGTTTCGAGGCGCCATAATTAGATGCTGCTGAAAGTATCGGCTTCCAGGAGATACTTATTGATTCAACGGGTCTCGTGACTATGCGTCGGCACCATCACGAATGGAAAGCAGGGAATGGGCGGAATATGCAGAATAAGCGAACCGATACCTATCTATTTAAACTTGCTGGCACACTTTACACGCTCTTCACACATTCCACATCAGTGTGAGCAATAGGTAGATATTTATCTACGAACAAATGTACTCAAGCAGGGTTAGCAAGCCGCGTACGTCTGGAAATTGAAATTACCTCTCGAATTCGCGCTTCCGATCGACTTTAAAAAAATGCGAAAACATTAAAGACTGATCCGCAAACGCTAGTAATTTTCACAAGAATGCTGGGTTGTGAACAAAACTTTCGCCCCAGGCGGGACTAGAACCCGCACCTCTCGCTTTCCGGGCAAGTGCGCTACCAGTTACGCTACCGGGGCACCATTTCATTCCAACTCAGCTTTTCATGGTATACGTACCATAGCTTTCAGCACTCACACGTCTAACGTGTTGAGCCGGTTAGCCGATATCGGCAATGACCGCGAGGCTGAAAGCTTTAGCAATGAATTTTGACTTGTTTTGTTTGTTAACTGCTGTTTTAACGCCGCAGTTCGCGTTGCGAATGTTTCACAAGAATGCTGGGTTGTGAACAAAACTTTCGCCCCAGTTAGTGCTGAAAGCTATGGTACGTATACCATGAAAAGCTGAGTTGGAATGAAATGGTGCCCCGGTAGCGTAACTGGTAGCGCACTTGCCCGGAAAGCGAGAGGTGCGGGTTCTAGTCCCGCCTGGGGCGAAAGTTTTGTTCACAACCCAGCATTCTTGTGAAACATTCGCAACGCGAACTGCGGCGTTAAAACAGCAGTTAACAAACAAACAAGCAAAATTTTGTAATTTTTTCAGAGAGATCATGTCATCGAATCTTTCCGATCAGGACGGTTGTGGGTGCTGATTTGTACGGAATTGATGGGCCGCGGTTTAGACCTTCGCAATGTAAACCTAGTAATAAACTTTGACCTACCAACCTCAATTGTTAGTTATATTGGGCAATCGAATAGTGTAAGTCTGTTTGCTTTGCATCGGACCCATAGTCCGTTTACGTGATTGAACCAAAATTCTCCCTATATGGCTCCGTTTACGCCTGTTTTCGGCATTCTACTCAGTTTTATGTTCGTTCCAGGTCGTACCGGACGTGCTGGTCGTCGAGGACGTGCCATAACATATTTTACCGAGTCAGATACAAAGTACTTGAGATCAATTGCTACCGTCATTCATCAGGCAGGATTTGAGGTTCCGGAGTACACGTTGAGTTTAAAACCTCTAAGCAGGTAAGGAGTTCTCAAGGTCAATATTTGTTCTTTTTCAAGGATTAATTTCCCATGTTTCAGAAATGAGAAGAAGCAACTCGTACGCCATGCACCGAAACGGAAACACATAGCGTTTGTGAAAAAGAAGAAGAAGAAGGCTGTCCAAGCTGAAAATGGTAGTAAACAGTCCGATGAACCAGTCGATAAGAAGGCAAAGGTTGAAAAAGCTGCTGTGAAATCCATTGCTGACAATAAGCTTCATGGTGATATTGAGAAGAAGAAAAAGAAGAAGAAAAAAAGAAAAGTCGATGAAAGTTTGATGGGTTCAGTCTGCCAAAGAAACTGTGGGGCTTGGCACCTGAAAAACGATTCCACAGAAAATGAATAAAGCTTTGAAAAAGAATAAAGGGAAATGTCCCAGAAATGATAAATAATAAATGAAGTATAATGGAATGAATGAAATGAGAATACCAAATGGATGTCTGACAGATTGTTATTGAATTTAGAAATCTGAGCGCATACGTGATTTACTACAGATTAAGTTTCTATAGATTTTATGTTCAATGGATTTACGTGGTTGGCATCTCAAATAGTTTGTTATTTTGTTGTTATTTGTTATTTGTTGGAATAAATAGTTATAAACTGGTTCTTATTTCCTAGAAAACAGAGTAAATGATATGGACTGAAGATTGCATGGGAAAGAATTCGATCGTGCGAAACATGGGAACACGCTACGATTGATTTGGTTGGCTTCCTCTTGCTTCAATGGCGTATTCTACCGACGTAGCATTGTGTTTGCGTATCTAAAGAAGTGAAGATCCTGTCAAACGTGAAATGTCGTGAAATTGTCCTCCGTTGAAAAGGCAGGAAGGGTTACAGCTAACGCCGCTGATGCGCCGGTCAGCAACGGCAGAAAGACACATTTGCAGCATGCAGTCGGCTGGAGCAGCACGGTGTATGCTGAAGTTGGGGATTGGGAGGAGTTCGACGGTGGACGGACCACTTCAACTTCAACTCGGTCCTTAGAACCGCCACAATTTGGTGCTTACCTCAGAACTAAGCCTTAAAGAGAGGACGGGTCCGTCCCCTCTCCAAGGCTTAGTCCTGGGGTGAGCAAACCAGCCCTTCTGGCGGAGCTGCTGGACCAGCTGCACCACTTGCGTCAGTACTCTCCTATCGTACCAACCGAGTTGAAGTAAACCGTCGACCGTTGGGGACCCCATCCCCTCCCCAACATTCAGCATACGGTCCCAGCCGAAACGCCAAAAGGGCTGGTTTGCTTTCACGTCCGCCTGAGTCT